CTGTAGTCACTGACTAAAACCGGCAGTGGACGCTCGGTCTAAACGAAGCTTGACTGCCGTGAACGTAGCCTCAACAGCGCCTGCAAACTACATTCATGGCGGCTGGAACCTGGCCTGCAGACTATGTTCACAGCGCCGTGAACGTAGCCACTGTGTATTTAATTTGCTCTCGACTCTGCAGGGCTAGACTTGGCTGAGGCCTACTCCTGGTCCGGCAAAGTACAATGGAGGGCGAGAGATGCGCACGAGAGCTCATTTGCATAATTGCAACCCCTTTGGCCCTGCTCGCGAACTGGCGATTTGTATTTTTGACCTTTGAAGCCTTATATCTCGGTTCGAACAAATGCATCATTTGGTACCTTTCACGAGGCACGCTCACACATTCTGGTGCCTCGCTCTCCAGACTCCAGTGGGTCCCACTGAATTACCTTACTACATTCATCGAGTACACAGGCTGACACAGCATTTCTGGCCAACAAGTTAACAAGGCATACTTTAGAACCGTCTGCGTTGGTTCAAAACTCGTTTGAAACACGTAATGACTAATATTGTCGGTACATTTTGTTTTCACTCCCACACACAGATGCACTGCTTTTGGGTCAACAAACTGCAGTATCTTTAGTTACAGACCACACATATTACCACTGACACTGAAACTGTCACAAATCAGTTATTTTCAAGAAGACTGTCATTATTCTCCCCCCGGGTGAGGAAAGTAATAGTATCCGTTTTATTCTCACCCCGGGTGAGAAGGTGAGAATGATTATTATATATTGTTCCTCTCACCCAGTCTGAGAATACAATGGATTTTATCTCATCTGAGTGTTGAGAACAGGCCTAGCCTAAATACATGTAGGCCAAATAGGATGACAGAAATTTGTGTTGTAAATATAATGTAATTTTTTTCAATGATTTTTTGTGAGTTATTGAAATGGTTTGGGAATTAAACATCCATAAATGTGTCCTCCTTCATTTACTTCAATAGCTCAGATACAGGAAATACTCTTTCAGTATGGATTTCAATTGCCAGCTCATCACCTTTTTTATTCCAGTCAGTTCAATAATTGATACCTAATGACCTAATGGGCTTTTTGCATGAGATGAGTGATAGACTGGAAAGTGGAAATACAAAGGTGCAGGTAGCCAACTTTGCATGTGACAAAGATGGGTTACTCTTTAGAATCATCATGTTTGGGTTGGTTAAATTTGAATTGATATTCTACAGCTGTAGAAGTCGTAATGCTACTTCAGCCGCAGAGCAGGGTATTTTATGTCTCATGATTAAAAGGAATGCATCTAGTTCAAACAATAGAAATGGCAATAGTGGTATTAGTTTGTTGACCTAAGCCTACTTTCAGGTTTTTGAGAACTTTCTCCACTCCTCCTTTTCAGCTACACCAATGAACAAAGGTACTTGGAAGCCATGGAGCAAACAGCCAGCTTCAATACAAGGCTGTCGATGGAGAGAAAAATGCGGCTACCGTTCTTAGACTCCCAAACAGGAGTGGCCCAGAGACACACCCATCTATTTCATCCCTACAGGCACAGGCAACCAGGTACTCAGAGTACATGTCACAGTGTCTTTTGTAAAGGAGTCTGAAATTATTATCAATTATCTGTACGCATGTGTTGCATTCTGGATCTGATAGTTTGGTGGTTTTGTATGTTTCGTTTTTAATGTTTATTGAACTTCTAGGATGACATAGGTCATTTCAAAGGTGAAGTGTATAAAAATGGTGTTCTGTTGATATTTTATAGAGAACGATAAGGGAAAAGAAGGAAAATAATACAAAAGAAATTACAGTATTTATTACGTAAAGAGGGCCTGGCGGTCTCATGATATTCCACCATTTGAGGGCTACACGTCCTATTGTGGTGCACAGTGGGCTCCGTTCCCCTGCTATCCATTGGGGGGGGGGGTGTTAATCGAGTAGCAGTATGTCTGTATGCATTGCTCCTTTTCTTTTCAATGAGTGAACAGTTGCATAAATTCTTTTTATAACACATTTTTATTTTGATAAGGCTTATTTGTACTTATTCTTATATACATCATACTTTATTTTTTATGTGTAACATTTGCTCATTTTCAGGGGAGATGAGTGGCCAGCTGTACAGCTACCCAGCAAAAAGGTGGAAAAAGAAAAAGAGGTCTTTCTTTTCCTCTGACCCAAGGATAGGTCGTCATGGAGATATCGAGACTGGAGAAGCAGGTCAGAATTGTTATGTGCTTGTAAATTGAATGCTGCAGATATTTTCTAGCAAAGCAACATTTGTTTCAGATAGATTTCTACACTATAAAATTGTAGATTCTTTGCTGTTGGTTTATGGGGAGGAGGGGGGGGGGGGGATTGAAATGAAGTTTGGTCTAGGGTTGTAGGCCAGGATAAAATTGTAGCAGGTCAAGAAGAATTTTTGTAAGAGAAAAAGAAACGATATTCGCAAAGGCTGATAATTGTGACTCTTAAAACTTTTCAACAATTGATTTTTCACAAAGTGTAGTAGTCTGTACTACTCAAGATGTATTCAGTGTTTTTAAAGAAAAAATTGTTGCTCGTATAGCTCCTTTGGATTGAGAGAAATATAAAAAAAATTAGGTCGCCAGCGCCTTAATAAAATAATGTAACACAGTCAAGTTGGCTTTTTTTTCTCTCTCTCTTCGTGTTTGACTCCATTATGTACATATGTTGTATGGCTGGATTCATTCAGACTTGAATGTTGGGGGGGGGGATTGTCTATGGAATTCACTTGACCAACCTGCTCTGCTCTTTTTTTCACTCTCAGACATGCATCAGATTAGTGCAGTCGAAAACCCTGCCCATAAAATTGATGAGAACGATTTTGAGACTGTTGAGGGCACGGAGGCATGGTTTGATGACTATGATGACCTTGGAGAGCCGCCAGATGATGGGGCAATGGTGGATGATCAATCAGACATCAGTGACTTTGAAGACTCTCTGAAAGGCAAACGGCGGAAAAAGGTATAGCTGAGATTAACAATATGTCTTTAAGGGAGAGTGACAGTTCATATTTCGTTTTTGCGTTTGACCATGTGTGAATTTACGTGAAGTGCATTTTGATGTAGGTGCAAGTTTTTGTTGGGTTGGTTGTTTTTTTTTTGGGGGGGGGGGGGGGTTATAAGCGAATTTAGCACTCTCCCAATGAAACTGCGTTTCATAAATAGCATGTATTAATTTTATGGATAATATTGCAAATGTTATATATGAACAGATCAGGGTTCTGTCTAAGTGTAGCACATTTCCGGGGGCTCATCAGTAGCTTAGTTGGTGTCATTCTAGGTACAAACTCACTGTATTATTTTCGCTCCTTTCAGAATTGTATATGAATTTTTTTTCTAAAGGGCTGCTTATTATCTTCGACATGGAACAAATCTTGCTGCTTTTATTGCTTTTTTTTTTTTTTTTAAATTAAATTTTCTCCTCTGGTCTTTGACATGTTCCTCGACATGCAAGCCCAAATACCAAGTTGACAGAGCTGTGAAAAATATAGGGAAGTAATGAGGTTGATCTTTGATCTGATATATATACCATTGTAATCATTGTTCTGACTGATTGAGATTGATTGAAAAGATTATTGATTTCAGTCCTTTCTTAAAATGAATAATAGTAAATAGCATTTGTATAGCGCATGTCCCCACTCGAGAGCAAGCTCTATGCACTTTACACACTATATTATTACCCTAGCAGAACATATAACGCCTAGAAACATTCTCAGCTTCGAGGAAAGCATACAGTACAAGCAGCTGGTTAAGCGCTCAAACACTAACAAATGGACAAGATCTTTTGCTGTGTATAGCTGGATACCCATTCCCACTTGGGTTAAGTGAGGAAAATTCGTGTAACAGGCTTTTCCCAAGGACATGGCGTCGGTCCCTTGACAGGATTTGAACCCACGACCTTACGGTTATGAGTCTGAGAGCTTAACCACTGAGGCACCGACTCCAAATACTTCCTTCATGATCCTGGTAGCTGTACAGTGCCTTTCGTCTCCTTGTCTTTCGTTCTTTCCTCCTCCTGTCTATAAAAAGTGAATTCAGTGTAATAGTTGAAGAGATCTGTCCTAGAGTTGAACAGCTATAGTAAGAACAATGTCTGAAAACAGCTAGCATGTGGAAAAAAAGAAGGTAGTTGGGAGCAGTCATGGTCCTTATGGTGTGAAAAACAATATGTCTGAAAGGAGGCTCGGTAGCTCAACAGGTCTGGAGTTTGATCCTGGCCAGCTTCAAGTTGTTTTGGAGTTTTGTTTTCAAATTATATTCTACAATCTTTGACCCTAGTGTAGGTAGAATCCAGTACCTAGACTTCTTGCACAAGGAAGAAAAATTTAGGAAATCCAGTTTGGAATTTCTCAAGCTAGAGATCCTTTGGCAGTTCTAAAATGGAGAGGAGTAGTCCCCACCGGGCTGCCATCCGGGCAAAAGTCAAAATTATTATTTCCTGCCCAGAACTGAAACAATCCCAGGCGGTATAGATATTAGGAGAAACTTCAAAACAACACATAGCTGCAAGGGATAATTCCTCATTGACAACAGATAAAAAGGCCAGGTACGTAAAAATCAGCTTCAATGTGAGATGAAGATCTTACTGTAAGCTACTTCCTAGCTCTAGCAGGGGGCATGAGATAAACTGATGTAAAAAAAAAAAAAACCAGTGTTGCACCTCCGAGCTCATACTTGTATGAGATGTAGCACTATATAAATGCTATCTATTACTATCACCTCAATGTTGTCGTTTCAGACCACAACAAAGGGGAGGAAGAAGAAGAATGATGAGCACAGCAAGGAGCTTCTGACCCCAGAGGAAAAGGAGAAGCCATACGCTTGTGAAGGTAAAACTTTTGTGCTTTGGCTAGCTGTGCAGTGTGAAATAGTATATATATTGTTATGTGGCACCGTGGTGAAATCAGGTGCTCATCAAAATAATTAAATCGAAGCAGCCAACATCTTTCCACCCATTGGGTATTTTTTTTTTTCGATTTTTTTTTGTCTTGGATTCAATGCCTTTTAAGACAATTTGAAAACAAATTTCTGTGTTGATGTTACTGAAAAACGTTGATCAAAGACACGAAAGACATAAATTTGCAGTGTCCAATTACTCTCAAGCTTTGGAAATCATCAAAGTTTGATGGCCATTTTCTCACTAATTTTCCCTCCGACTCCAGGCGACTCCCACCTCCTTCGAGCATAAATATCACAAATTCTATTCAAGATAGATCAGTATTTTCTTCAACAAAAGCAAGACAAAAACAAGCTTTTAGATTATACCATAACTCCATATGCCAAAAAAATTGACGGGTACCTGCTTCCACTGCATCACAACACATGAATATAATGTATTTAATTGATTGTCAGAGAAAGGAATGAGATAAGAATCTAACTTGTCTCAGTGTGTTCTGACGGTGTCTCGGGGTGACCTTTTTCAAGTCTGTGTTTTTTAGGATAATGGACACAGGGGTACATTTTATAATGTTACAAGATGACACTACAATTGATACAGTTGCATATATGTGAAGCCTGTTGACAAAATGAGTTACTTCTCTGATTCAAGCCTTAAAGAAATAGATACTTCACGCTTACAGGTGGATTTACAATATATAAGTATGAAATAATAAAAGACAGATTATAGTTCAAAAATATAGCATCAAGAGAAAATCTACAAATTTGACCCTAATGTCTAGTTTGGGCCAATATCTCCATTTGTGGATTGCAAGAAGTAACTCATTTTGTCAGCTCGCCTCACATGTGTACATGATGATATCTCAGAGGAGTGAAAGAAGAAGAAGAAAAATTGTGTATGTGTGCTGTCTTAAACAGTCCCCTCATCTGATTGTCCTTGTCTTCCGTGCTCCTTTTCTTTCGCCTTTCTTTTCTCCGCTTCCTTCAACACTTTGGAAATTTTTCTCCTGATTTCAAGCTGTGTTCGCTTTTTTTTAAAAGTTTGTAGCACCATTCTGCACCAAGTTACTCTTCGGGCCTGTATAGTCAGTGTTTGTTGTCCTGTCAATGTGTTCTTAAAAGAAAAATTGTGTGGTTGATTTTTCCCAAAGATTTTTGGAAAGGTTAATTGTCTAAGTGTTCTCTATCAGCTATGTGCAGCTTCTAGTTATATTTTTGTACTTATCAATTAGACTGGTTGAAAACTGCGTACATCAACTCCTCTCAAGGTTTTTGATGGTATGATGTGTTTTGAATCATTTCTGCTCTGTGATAGTTGTAATCAATGCTATTGAGTAAAGCACTTGCAAAGCTTTGGCCTTATGTATGTAGTGAATTTAGTGAGTTTTCTTGTCATACTCTGTGTGCACATGTGTAAAACATTATTTAAAATCCCCAGTTGGAAAAAAGAAAGGTATGATTTGTCTTTGAGGTTTTGTCCCTATGTCTCCTGGGATGTTATTTTTTTTTTTCCCCTTTCTTTTTCTTTCCCTTTTTTCCATTTTTTCCTTCTCAGCTTGTTTGCTTTGTACAAGCGACAGTTGTTTCCGCCTCATTGTCTTGCCCTCTTCTTTGTCTTTTTTTCCCTCCGAGTCACCACAGGTTCTGCAGGCATTGTCCTTCATTAACTCTCTGAGACTGCATCACACACTCATCTCCTGGCAGCATGCTCAGTCGTGTGACAGCATTGCACAGATGTGTGTGATGAAGATGTGCAGCAAATTTTATTTCATAAAGGATGCAATAGAAATAAAATAGGACTCATGGTTTTAGTCTTACTAGGAAATATTGGCCCAACCCTAGGCTGAGAGACCCAAAACTTTATGGGAGCCTGGAGGACCTGCGGCAAACAGCAGCCTTCACACTAGAGACAAGGATTTTCATTTAAAAATGAACAAGAAGAAGAAGATGGTTCCTGTATACATTTGCCATTATACTCTGCTATTAGTGCCAGAAATACTCGGGGGGGGGGGGGGGGGGGGCGAATTTGTGGCTTTGTTCCTCTTTTTTTCATTTTCTTTGTGAGCTATCAAAGAGAAGAAGATTTTACTTTTGCTTTTACCCTTATTTTTAATCTTTGTGAAAAGTTATGCTGATGTAGCAGTGCTTCTAATCTTCCCAAATATTTTTGAAAATCCATACTTTCTGAAAGTTCTGTACTTGGTGGCCCCCTTAGCCCTCCCCCCCATCAGTAAAAAGTGTGATAGTGTAGTGCTTCTGATATTTTGTAGCGAATGATTGGTACCTGCCTACCTATGGTCTCATACCAGATAAGTCCCAGATGTTCACAGTAATGCTTGACAATAAATTATATTGGTTTAATTGTAGAGTTTTAAAAAAGTTCATGAAAATGTTTGTTTCTATTTTCAAAGATTCTTTTTACAACTCCTCTTAATCACTGTGTACATAAATACAGTTTCTTACTCTAAACTTGCGGTCTCGGAGAGTTATGGACATTGACTTGTAGGCAATTCCTTTGTGGTGTGTTATCTGAAAAAAAAGTATTCATTAAAACACTCACCCCATCATAGCTGGTCTGCTGTGTCACAGAAAACTTTCATCCGGGTGTGAGTGGCTACCTGTGGCATCTCTGCAAGATTTTTTCTTTCAATTTTAATTTTTCACCATTTCTACCTCTGCCTTCTTTTTTATTTATTTTTTTCTAATTAGTAAGTTTTTGGTCACTGGTTTCTTTTTTTTTTTTTTTAGATTTTGTCACTGCTGGCAGTGTGCACTCACCCTAATAAGTCTGAATAACTGGATTGCGTGTATATGTTGCAGCTTGTGGGGCTCGTTACAAAACACGGCCCGGTCTAGCATACCACTACTCTCATTTCCACAATGGCATGATGGATGAGGAGAGTAGTACACCATCACCCAAACCGCCCAGCCGCGCAAACTCAGGTTCCAGTGACAGCTTAAGCCCACTCTGTGTGCTCTCTGAACCGTTCACACTATGCAGAGCACACATATGTTTTTTTTAAAAATTATTTATTTATTTTTATTTTCAGCTTAGTGACCACCTGCATGCTTCAAGCTTTTTTCTTTTTCTTTTCTTTTCGTTAAATGCAACAAAATTTCTTCCCGTTTCTGCTATCACATTTCATTTGCCATATATTTTCATTTGCTTATTGCAGTTAGTATACACGCGCATCAATCGCTACCTGCCTGTTAAAGCCTTGTCTGCTTTCGGATCAGATGCTTTTACTGACTAGGGCACTGCATGCTTTGCTATGTCTTCACCGCCCTTCTCATTTTTTTTCTTCATGTGGCTGTTGAAAGCTCCAGTATTGAATGTGCTGGAGATATTTGTATATTACTAATTGGCCAGGGTCTGACTTTAAGTGTTTGTTTTTTGTTTTGTTTTTTCTTTCTTTTTTCTTTTCTTTGCTTTTATTCTGTACCCTTCAAACTTGGTTTGTATTCTTGTTTTGTCGTGTTTCTTGGATTATTTTCTTTCACTATTTTAGCAAGAATTCTGTTGGAAATAACAGAATATGTTGGGGTTTTTTTTAATTTGATTTGGGAGGGGGGGGGGGGATTGTTAAAAAAAATTTTTTTTTTTTTTTTTTTTTTTTTTTCTGTACTCATTCTTGTTTGTGTCCGTTTTCATGCGGAATTTTGAATTTCTTTTCTTACACTGTGTACTAAAAGTATTTTTTGGTGAGACTTGCGACATTTCTTTATTCTATCTGTTGTATCTGTTGCTTTGTTTAGTTATGGGTCAGTTTTTTGTAAAAAAAAGATAACAGTAAGAAGAAACAAAATTTATTTTTAACACAGCATAGATATAATGATGTAAGAAAAACTGTTTTGTTTTGGGGGGGGGTTTTCTTACTTTTACTCTGTGAAATCTGATTTAGTTGTTCCATTTGAAAACAAGAAAGAAGCTGTGTTAGATAAACTTTAGAATGCATGTATGCATAGCGTATATATTTTTTGGGGGGAACAAAGACTGCTTTCTGACAGTAAAAATTATCCTGTTAACACTTTGACTCTGTAGTTTGCTGAATTTTATTTTTAGAAATCGCAGTTACTTCTGCTCAAGGAATGTCAGCTTTCAACAAAATCATTCTTTATAATGAAGTCTTCAGGTGTTGATTTAGGTTCAAATTTGCATTCTTTTTAAAATTGGGTATTAAAACTGGCAGTCTGAAAATGGAAGTTGATTATTATAACTTTTTTCTTTCGTTTTCATGGTTTTTAGGGGACTACAGATGATGGTAGACTTGCAGAAAAATTATGAAAAGACATACTTGTCATTTTTGGCTGACATGCTATTGATAGACAAATCCTCAAAACTGATGTTTTATAAAAGTATGCAGTTAACTTTGGTACTGTGATAAGATTCATACTGCATGGTTCCTTCTACTCTACTTAGTCTCTAATTCTTTTAGTTTGCTCAAATAATTAAAATGGAAAAGAAGTGTATACCCTTCAAATGGCAGTCAAATGGAAATAGGTCAGCTTGATAACTCAGAAACATCTTTGTATGCATGCATGCTTACTAAGCCAGCAAATAGTATTCATGAACGAAACCTTTTGAATGTTATGAGGCATGTTGCCTTAGTCATTTAATTTCTTTGTCCTATGTTTTGGTAAACAAGCAGCTTTCTTTTTCCCTCCCCTTGCCCCTTTTCGATTATTTCTGTGTGCTCAGAAAAGTTCTTATGGAAGTGTTATAGATAAATACAAGTAATGAAACTAATATGATATCTAGATTAGATACCAGGTGTATTTGTCAAGATAGTTATAAAAACGTAAAGTAGTTTCAGTTTTGTAGTAGGTGATGATCAAATGGGTACGTAAGTGATTTATTTGGTGCCAAATATAAAGAAACTAGGATTTGTGAGTGTTGACTATCATACTGTAGAATGGGGACAATACGTTTAAGGAGTCTCAAAAGTCTTGCTTGGATTTTTTCAAGGGTCAGCTGTTCTGCTGACATGAGATATACTATTTCAGATGCTCATTACCTTGGAGAAAATAAATTTCTAGAAACATTATCGTTCTGAATACTTTTTATTTTCTCATTCACTGTTAATTCAAAATGAAAACTTCCTGTTTCCTGTCTGTAATTTTGATGGAAATCGGGTCATGGCTCTCAAAGCTTTCAATTCCTGTCTACTTTGTTACTTTAAGTGTGAAAAATATGCAGTACGAAGTTCTAGTTTTCCTTGTTTTGTGGATTTTAGTGTCACTGGAAGCATCAGACTGTGGACAAACTGGGGTCTTGTTGAAGGTGTATTGTAGTGTTACATATGGTGCAAAGGAGCACAAAACTCAGGCATGGGAAAGACAAAAGATTCCACAGAGATTTCAGTCCCAAATTTATTTGGGTAGGAAATATGGAATTTATATATATATATATATTGGATCAAGATGACTTGAATTCTTGGTCAAGATCAACTTTCACTCTTGTTTCCTTTTTTTTTTTTTTCCCCCACTTGTGTGCATTGAGTGATGTCCAAATTATGTAAATGCATTGGGCATGTGTTCGACTCATATTTATAATAGTTTAAGATTCAGATGGATAGCGCTAAGAAAAAAGTCGCAGTTGAGAATAAGCATAAACCTTCGTAAGGCCCAGCATATATCCGTGGTTGTTTTTTACTTAGCTTTAAGTAGAATTTATCGAAGTGTTGGTTATTTTTCTTTGTATGCATATAGATCCCTTGAGAACATATTGGAATTGAACTACTTTGGGGATGTCAAACACTATGATTTACTCAAGGAACATATTCTGGAGGCAACGGTAAAATACAAGAGGGGAGGGGAGGGGGGCTAAAAGAAGATGGAGACAAGTCTGAGAAACCTGGCTTGGAACCAAACAAGAAACAAAAAGAATGGCACGAGACAGAGTGTTATTGCAGAAGATTCGGAAAAGTAATGTTCAACTAATGGAAAAACATAAAATAAAAAGATTCCTCTGTTCGTATTGTCATCAGACCACTCAATAAGTAGACTCCAGTGTATTTAAAGCGTTACAGTGTGTTTTGGGAAATATCTTTATTCTTTCTTACTGTTTAGTAGAATTAGACTCGTTCAAAGAACTTTCCTTGGCTTATGTTTTGGTGGCTGGCGTGCTTCTCTGTAGTTGGCATTGTGCTTTGATCAGTCAATGGTTGTCATTGGTTGTTATTTTTATGGTGATTTTTCTGTTATTCAACAAATGTTTGAGCTTTCTGACATGTTCACTGTGGCACAAAGCTGATAATTCATGAAAGCATTGCGCAAGGTGATAGCTCATCTGTAGTGCCATCTCACGTCTTCATTTCTCTTGAAATTGTTTTCCCCCCCAAGTGACATAGTGTCATGCCTCAAAGCAGTGAGCCTCAACCTTTGGCTAAGAATGTCTGCTTCTTTACTATTTTCAGCACTGTCATCATCATCAAGTCTACCTTTTGCTCAAATTTTGCACTGGCATTATAAGATATGGGAATTGACAGACTTCTGGAGATGTCTCTTCTTACTGTATGGTGTCCTTCTCTTCCTTTGTGTCGTGTTTTATTGAATCTGTTTTTAAGCCACTTACACCATCAAACTTGGATGGAGGGTTTCATGTGTTTCACAGACACAGAATTGTTCGGAAAAACTTGAAGCCATTACAGAGTAGGCAACTGAACAGGTGCAGCTAAGCCTAGTTTAGAGAAGTAACAGTTGTTAGTGAGGTTAGTGGGTTTTGTTTTAATGGTTGCGCAAGTTAGATATTATGAGCTACAATTTTCTTTTTATGACCAAATCAAACGGTGAACCGTTAATATGTTTGTCCACAGTCTGGGCTGCACAGTTTTTGTCTCCCTCAAAGTTTGATGTCCCGTTCTATTCCTTCACTTCTACTTGGTGCTAGTCTCTCATCGTCTATGTATTCATAGAAAACTGATGTTGGGGGTTTTTGTTTGTTTTGTTTTATTTTGTTTTTCTTGCTTTGAATGTGATCTTCTAACACAGACTATTTATGTTGTTCTCTTGCTTGTTGACTGCAGAGTATATTCCCAAAAGCTCTAAACGGTCCAGGGGTGAGGCTGCCACCAGTAATAGTAAAGGTAAACCAATCACCACATCTGTTTACATCACTCCACATCCTTGTTTGTGATGATCATGCATTGACTTGTATTATCATGACTATCATGAATGGATCTTTCAGAACTGTGATGTCTGTTTGCACTGTTCATCAGAGGGCTTCACATTCACAATAAATATTTAATTTCCATGCACAATGAGAGACCCTGCCTGTTGCAAATTTCCCCAATTTTACTTAAAATTTAAACGTTCTGCATTCAATTCAACCATTAAAACTCTGTTTTACCCGGAACTTAAAACAGCTTACTGCCAAAAATCTGTTATTGGTTAATTCATCTGTAAATACGATGATTTGTTTGTACAGTTCTTGGGACTCGCTATCATTTACAATCAATCAACAAAAGATTTTTGGTGAACTATTGCAGGAAACTGGAACATATTAGGATAGAATGCTGTATTGTGCGATTGTTTTTCAGCTCTCCCATGTCCACTCCTCTTATCCCCATCTCTCCATCTCTGCAACACAAGCGCCTCTTTGCTGACCCCCAACAGCTGTTTTATAAGAGGGTTTCGTTGTGCGTAAAACCCATCAAAAGTATCAGATCTCTTCCTCTCATAAATTTTATTAACATGTGACCAGTTGGGGCAATGTCAGAGTCGGATGCGTAGCTGATTCGTTACAAAAAATAATATGCTCTGTTAATGTACAGGCTAAGTTATTGCCTCTGTTTTCTTCATCTTGGTGGGGGGGGGGCGGGGGAGTCCATTTGTCAACTCTTTCTGTGCAATGTGCATATTCATCAGTGCCTGACTTTACACCACTGACTGTATGCTGATGTAACTTATGCCGCAAAAAAGTTAATTCTAATCACTGAAATATTTCTTAGTCCTCATGTAGGCTAACGTTAGCAGGATTTTTTCAAACTTAAAATGACCTGGTTTAATTTGTACTAACCTAAATATTGTAAGCTCAATCATTTTGATTTTTTGCTGTTATGGATTTAAGAAAAGTGCTTTTTGTCACCACTATCTACATTATAATCATTTCAGCCATCTTCTTTTTTTTTTTCTCATTAAGCCTTTTTTCTAACTTTCCGTTTCATTTTGTTCTGTATTCATAATAATAATTTCTTGTTGATGTATTACTAACTCTCATTCAGTTGTTAAGTTTTTTTTATTTTCTGTATACGGCAACAATATGTTGTACTGAATTAGGACAGTTATAATTTTCATAATGAGGGAATAACCATTCCTCTCTCACCTGCTCATACTCTACAGAGCTCTTGGAATTGAATGAAAGGAAACTGAATTGTCTAAAAACAGGGAGTTAAAAATTAAATACATAATATGTATTTTTTGCCATCGCTGCGTGATGAAACCAAATTAAAGTTTTAGTATAAGAGGATCCAAAGTAAGGGTAATTGACTGGTGAGCATTTTGTCTACTTTAAAATTATATGTACATGCTCACTTTCACAAGTAAATCATACATTTCTAGACACAGATAAACGGTGGATTTATGCAACAGGGAAAAATGTTTTATGTCAATTTTTCTCTTCGTTTGAACATGCATCATATACCGGCCGGTATGAGTAATAGTGATTTTGAAAACATTTTTTCATTCAACATTCTTAACAGAGGCGAATGGATTTTTATTACAAACTGGAACTCGATCAAAAGCAGGAGAGGGTATTAATGTATTTGAAGCAGCTTGTGTCTTCTTGTGAGATCAAGAATTATGTTGGCAGTGAAAGCTTCAAATGTAACAGGTATTGAGAGAATTTTGTAGCTGGGAACACCTGTGCCTGTTTATGTCTTGCCATGCACAAACCTTTTTTTTAAGGTCATGATTCTGTCTTATGGTGGTCTAGCTCATGTAACCTTCCCTTGGAGCATCACTAAGACAGAATCATTGTCCATATTTTGTAAGCAATAAAAAATTTTCTTTTTATGTTAGTACATTGTCCTTTTGCAAGAAATAGATAAACGAATGACTTTCAAAATTTCTTGATTCTTCCATCAGTTTTTTTGCCGATCTTTTGATCTATATTTACCCATGGTGCAAAAAGACTAACACTTTCTTTTTTTTCCCAGCCAGCAAAGCTGCCCCAGCCTCAGCAGAAAGCAAAGTGTCTGCAAACAACTATTGCGACTTCTGTTTGGGTGATGTCAATGAGAACAAGAAGACTAAAGCAGCCGAGGAGCTTGTTTCTTGTAGTGACTGTGGTCGTTCAGGTTGGTGAAGTGTTGGTGTTCCTAACTCATTGCCTGCTCAAACAAAGGCTTTTTGAGAACATTAATCATGATGATGTATTAAAAATTTCTGGAAGAGCTTGACATAGATGAAAAACATTGAAAGAAGTTGTTAGAAATTTGTACTGGAAACAAAATGCTAGCATTGTCAGGGATGCCTATTTTGCTGTGATTTTTTTTTTTCTGGGGGGGGGGGGGGGGTATGTCCGCTATTTTCTTTTTAATCAGTTTTGAAATCCTAAGAACAGTAATTATTATCATTTTTTGTTTTCTGTTAGCCCCATTTTAGTTATGTTCATTAACTGCCTTTTTGTAGGTACATCAACAATGTGAAATTGTGCTCTAAAAATGGTGGGTGCAAGCAGGGCGCTGTATCAATTTCATCTGAAATTGCTGCCATTTCTCTCCCAAACAGTGTAGACAAATAGAAGAGTATTTTTCCTTACGAAATGTGGTATTGTTTTGCAACACTGGTGGTGGCACTTAATGAATAGCCCTTTGGGGAAAATGACACCAGAGTCTTTGAGTGGATTTTTGTACTGAGCGCGGCTGGTAAAACAGATTGCTGTGGGGGGGGGGGGGGGCACAAAACCTGTTTCTGGAATACCTACTAGTGTGGTGTGCCTGCAAAGATTTACACGTAGACATTTCTGGTGTGTCTCAGTCTGCATGTCATGGAAAACACTGACATTATGCTGAATGAAACTTGTCAAGCTAATCAAGTTTTTTATTGCCTCCCTTTATTACATAATTGCTCTTTGATAACAACACCAAACGCTGCAAGGTTGTGTTAGCTCATTCGAACTAGTATCAAATATATCTTTGTTGAAATCATATGGCAGTTTGCATAAGATATCCTGTTGTACTTGATGCCCCTTGGAAAACTGATTCCTGTATAATAATAATAAATAATATAATTGGTAAATCAATTGGGGAAAACTGTTGAGTGTAGTGAATTAATTTTTTTATTGTTAGATTATTTTTTAAAATCCTATTTATCATGGTTTTTTTAGATCATTCTTGTCTATAATTGTATCATATATGTGAGGCATTCTGATGAAATCAGGCGCTCGTCAAAATAATGAAAATGAAGAAAAGAGCATTTTTCTGCCGGTTTGGCCAGTTTTTTGCTTTTTTTGCTCAGCACCTTTTTAATCCTTTCAAAAACATATTTCTGTGTGGATTTTACTGAAAAACAATTATTAAATGTACAAAAAATGTAAATTTCCAGTGTCTGTGGACTCTCAAACTTTGGAAATCACCAAACTTTGGCCGCCATTTTCTCGCTGATTATACCTCTGAAACCAGGTGACCGCCACCGCCTTCAATCGCAAATATCTTGTATTCTGTTCAAGATAGACGGGTATGTTTTTTAACAAATTTAAGACAAATGAACAAGCTTTAAGATGATAAAAATAACTCTATATGCCAGAAAAATTGACAAGCACCTGATTCCACCATGTTGTGATACATATTAATATGGTTAAGTGGTTGACGTCGACAACCTTGCTTTTTTGGTGGAGGTTTTTTATTTTGTAAATTTGTTTCCCACAGGTCACCCTTCATGTTTGCAGTTCACCGACAACATGATCATCTCAGTGAAAAAGTATCCTTGGCAGTGCATTGAGTGCAAGTCGTGTGGTCTTTGCGGCACCTCGGACAATGATGTATGTTATTTCTGGTGGTATTCTACATCTATGAGAACTGATAGCTTGTTGAAGTCATTCAAAATTGGCCCAACACTACTGAAGTATTTTTGCAAAGTTAGAGAGACTTTTCCATCATCACATGTGCCCTCAAAGGAAACCAGTTGATGGAAAGTTTCTCTCTAATTTACCGTCTCTGTCCTTCATGAGGATGGGCTGACAAGGGAACTTGTCCATACTTTTACATAGGATTTGATATCTTGTTAGGTGAAGCCGAAAGTCAATCTAATCATTTTTTGTGCCCTTATTCAAGAGCAGCGTTTGGACTACAACTGGCAAGATCGTGAATGACTTTCTATATTATGAGTTCATTTCTATATATGTGGGCCCAGTATTATTGAAATTTCATTTGAAAAACAACCTATATATTGATTTGGGGGGGGGGGGGTTAGACATTAATGATTTGTTCTTGATGTGTCACTTTCCTGAGAGTAATAATGTTACACCAGTGAAAAGCAGGATTCTCACTTCTCATGCAAAACAACCCGATATGTACTGTAACAAGGAAAAATGCTATGGGTCTCTGTGTTTGTGAAAGCTTAAGCAGTCATGACTGAAGAATGACACAGAATAGCTAGAGAAAGAGCGAGAGACCAAAAAAAACCAAACCCACTCTTAAGTATGCGTGTCTATTGTCTCCCACAGGACCAGTTACTGTTTTGTGACGATTGTGACAGGGGCTACCATATGTATTGCTTGAATCCACCTTTATCAGAGCCTCCCGAAGGTGAGATTGTCATAATAATTGTAGTAATAGATAATAATAATGATGCAGATAGTTTCTGTAGCACTCACTCCAATACAAAATAGCACTTCAATTGCTTTACCTTTATCTGAGCACAAAATACATGTTCATGAATGCAAACACATATGCTCTTTATCATAACACATTAGATGCGCCCCCACCTCACTCCCAGGGCAGTGCCACTAGCTGGAGTGTCTTTAGGCCATTCCCAAAGGAGGGATATTAACATGTTCTTATGCACAGTAGAATTGCAAATGGGCTGATTTATCTATGTCATGCTCATACTGTGCCGGAACAACATACGGGGAACTGGTGCTTTTTCTTTCCTCATCCGTACTATCGTAATTTTCCTCTACTTTATTGGTATGTTTGTCACTCTCTTGTGAACTGCTATTTCTTGGGTGCCTTTATAGTCGAAGCAGACTTTATGCTTTTGAGGCTAAATAGGTGAGGAGAGTAAGCTGATACCCTGTTAGACTTCTCTGTTGACATCCACCCCTTGGCACTCGTATGACCTTATTCAGTTGCGGGCGCTGTAAAACCTTATTTTTAAAAAACATGTAAGCTGACACTCATACATTTAATATAATCCTTTAGGACACAGCCAGGGATGAAAATTTTTCTTAAATGTATGGACACGCATAATTTTGATTTACTACTTTCAAAGATGAGTCATTCTATGTGTACTAATCTACCGTGGAATATGTGTATTTTTCCTAATCTGTATCGCCCGCGAAAGTAAATTTTGGATTGATCCGTTTTCCTCCCTGGACTCGGCTCATGTTTGTCCTGTGGGTGGTTGGAGGGTGCCTCTGATGTATCAAACTTTTCTCTCCTTTTGTAGTTTCTACTAGTTAATCTTTCTTTGGTGGTGGATGGAAGGTGGTACTGGTAGATCTTACTTCTTTTCATTCCCTCTGGGATTTCTGTCAGTCTGTTCTATTCTTTCTTTGCACTAAATAACCATCTGTTGTGTTGTCTGTTCCTACTTCTTTTTCAAAGTTTCTTTAGTCCTCGTTTAAGTTTAAATGTGGCAGTTGTCATTCAGACTTGTAAAGCTGCTACTCGACACAGCTTGTCCTCAAAGTTCTGTTGTCTTTGTTGAATTATATGTGTCTTTGAGAAAGTAGATTGAAAGTAAAGTCTGGTTAGTGGGTGGTTGGCGGGTGCTCTGGTGTGGTTTGCTTCTTCTTTCCTATCAAACATCTATCGTCCTTATCTCCCCTTCTTCTTTTTTATGTTTGTTACTCTCTTGTAACGCCACTAATCTTCTGGCGCTCATATGACCTTATTCAGTTGCGAGCGCCGTAAAACCTCTACTTAAAAGGAAAAAGTCTGGTTACATTTTTAATCCTGTCCAACCAGGTGAGCGCTGAATCTGCAGGGGTTTTTTATCCAAAAAAGGAAACATGTAAAAACAAACAATGGTTCCAGACCACTTTTGGAAATAATCTCTTCCTGTTATTAATACCCTTGTCCTATATGGAAAACAGCATTGTTTAAAATGCTTTCTCTTCCACATTGGTGCTTTATCTTTTTAGTGATAAAAGAAAATGAATATAACTGTTCCAGGTGTTTGCATTGGGTTTTTTTATAGCTATTTTCAATTGGCAGGTGGTTGGCGGGTGCCACTTGTAGGTCTTGCTTCGTTGCTTTCTTCTTTGTTGTTTTCTTCTCTCTGTCTTTTTTTCCCAGCCCTAAATGATGGCCCATTTTTTTATTTTTTTTTGGGCAGTCCACTTCTCTTTACCTAAACAAATAAACATTTCCAATCTTTTTATCATATATATATCAGTTGTGTCTTGTACAAATGGGTTAACTTCGAAATAAAGTAAGGCAGGCTCAAATGCACTGTCTCTCCAAATTTGCACTTCAAGTTTATTCAAGTGTTATTCTATTCATTTGTGACAAATTTCAATTGAAGTTTGGTAGTGGGTGGTTGGCGGGTGCTCTGGTGTGGTTTGCTTCTTCTTTTCTATAGTCCTTATCTCCCCTTCTTCTTTTTTATGTTTGTTACTCTCTTGTAACACCTCTAATCTTCTGGCGCTCATACTCACATAGCCTTATGCAGTTGCGAGCGCCGTAAAACCTCTTCTAAACTAAAAAAAACGAAGAAGTTGGGTGTCACGGTGGTTGGAGGGCACCACTGGCAGGTCCTACTTCTTTTCCCTCCCCTGTTTTTGTTTTGTTTTGTATTTTTTGTTGTTGTTTTTTTTTGGGGGGTAGGGGCGGGGGTTCTCTCTGTCCTGCTTTTTCCCTGCACTAAATGACAAAAATTGTGTCAATGTATTTCTCATTACTCAAATGGAGTGGAGTACCATATATGATATTTTAATTAATTAAGCAGTTTCTAGCCTCTCCTGTAAAATAGGGCTTTCTGTATAAAAAGAGAATGGTGTGCATTTTTATTTAGTTTTTCATGCTTTTATATATCCTCAGGAAGTTGGAGTTGCCACTTGTGTATCGAGGAATTCCATGGTGGGAAGAAACCGGCAGGGATGAATTAAGAATTCATTAATTCCATTATCATCATTTTTTTTTCATTAAGACATTGTATCTTTTATATCTCTGTACAGTGATGTTTCAGTGTTCTGTCTTTTCATAAATCATTTAATGTGCTAAATTTTCATGGCATTGTACGGGAATATGGACTACCAGATATGTATGTGTGTAAATAATGTTGCATAAACCTATGGACCCAAGTAAAGGCCTGACCATGTGCTTCCTTTACTATTGTGCGGTGGTATGGGCACACACCAGTGTACTGTGTGTGGTTGTGTAAATCTAGCCTTGGTGGGACAGGTTTTGTCAGCTCGACCAGTGCTGGAATGGTTAAAGTGTAGGAGGCTTTGAGGTGCTACTTGCATGCAATATTTTTGTTGTTGACATAAAAATCGATGAAAAGGCCAGAGTAATAATAATGTAGGTTTGTTTGTGTTTTCTAGAGCATCCAATCCGAGGAATAAATGGCGAACCATTGTTGCTGGTGTCTCTGCTTCAGGCCTCGCACTTGAAGATCATAAAGAATCTCATTCAGGTTTTGGGTTTTTTAAAAACTAAATATGGCTCTAAGTGAGTTTATTTTTTTGTCAATACATTTAAAGAAATGGACAGCGGGCAAAGGTTTTCCCTTTCAACAATATGGCTGTTATGCTAAAGGGCACATGTCCAAATGCTGCTGGATTGACAACATCAGAGGCGAAGTATAAAAGAAGTTTCTTTTAATGTTTAACAGATTGGAAGGTGAACACTGAAATGACTTCTATCATGAGAATCAATTCAAAGCGGAAAAGAAGAGTGCTGTCTCGGCCCTTCCCTTCTTTTATGGTTCAGGGCTAAAGGGGTACAAAATTAGAAAAGTATAATTCAGTTGGCTTACACTTTATTCTTAAACATCACATAATATGTAACTTGAGAACCAGGCTTCTGTTTGAAAAAATAAAACAACTGTTTTTATCAATTTCTTTTCGCCAATTATAACAACCTCACATCACTGCCGCAAGTGTCATAATAGTCATATCTTTAGTTGGGACAATTTCTCATGAATTTTGGAAAATAGAGATGGTTGTGTTGTGTTTATATGTATAGAGGGGGGGGCTGTTGTTTTGTTTTTTCAGGGGGGGGGGGGGGAAATTGAATCTCACACAAATGAAAGAGTTTTCATGTTGCACCATGGATCAAGCATCAAGAGAAAATAGCAAGGAGTCAAAAGAGTGGCCCACAAGTCTTGTCATTTTAGTTTTGAAAAATAGATTTAAAAATTTTTTAATTTTTTTTGCGTATTGTAATGAGTGTTTCTATGAGATTGCATACTTTGACTGCAAGTATTTGTTTTTAAAATTATTTGTTCGTAAAAATGTGAAGAAAATGTCTGTACTTTCAGAAATAAAACTCTTCAAGGGGTGTTCTGAAATATATAATTATGTGTTAAAAATTTCACAAAGAATTTTCTGGAAAGGGTTTGAGGGTTGGATTTTTGGGGGTTTCTTTTCATTTTCTTGTAAATTGAGTATCATCGTCATTGTACAAGTTTTGTTTTATGTAATTTATATTTTGTTTCTGTACAAGTTAGAACAGTTCTTTGCAGCTAATTTACTTGATGTTACATGGACTGTTCGTATACGCAATAAAATTGTAAACAAAATTTAAATATCTGTATTTCGTCATGTCTGTCGGCTTTACTTTTTTCCTGCACTGAATGTGAAGAGGTGCTCAAGTTCGTCCCTTTTTCAATATATGAACACTTACTTGGATAGTGTCACCTGACACTTGGCCTGCATATTATCTAAAGACAGTTGTTTCAAACTGTTTATGCTAGTTTTTTTAAGCCAACTTGTTTTCATTGTTATCAGGAGAGGTTGGGGGGCACTGCTGGTAATTTTACTTCTTTTCTTTCCCTCTGCTGTTTCTGTCTATATTCTTTTCCCCCGCACTAATTGGCTGGTATTGTGTCAATGTTCTTCTCATAGATCTAAATAAACATCATTCTCCTTGTGTAACTGATGGAGGGGAGGGGAGCTTTTATATATATTTTTCTCATTCTTCACTTTTTTTTCTGTTTCCTATTTTATCTTTAGAATAAGTTTCAGATAGTTGGAGGGTACAGTACCAATGATAGAGCTCCTATATTTTTTCTTTCTTTCTGTTTTTCTTGCGTGAAGTGACCTTTACTGCATCAATGTTCTGGCATCTGTCGTGAAGCGGTTAGACATTTCTTGGCGTCACATGCTGAAGGCACAAGTTGGTTTCCCATGTGTGAAAATTTTTTGAGTATCTTGGTGTTTCTGCCGGAACTTTGTACATGTATCCCTTTTAGCCCCAGTTGGCTAGTCAAAATCCACATCTTAAGTGATCTAAATTGTGTCAACGAGCACTAAAGAATATCTACATTAACCTTTTCATTGCTGTATAATAACTGGCATCTGTGGTGGAGCACTAGCTGTTGGTCACTTCACTATCACGCGCAGGAGACACGAGTTTGATTTCCGGGGAGGGGGGGGGCTGGACTTTAATTAAGTATCGTATCTTGGTCTTTCTGCTAGGATATTGTATCCCTCTTACTATCGGTGTCCTTCTTTTAACTCAAACAAACAGAAATTACTTTTCTTCTTCAGCACTTATATAGTATAACTGCTTTGTGTTGCAAAGGCCGTAAAACTAACTATACTTTTTTTTTTTCCTTTTCATTTTTTAAAGTCTTTCTCTTCTCCCGACACTTGATTAAATGACTGTTTTTGCGTGGATGTGCTCTTTACTCCGACAAACAGTAGGACCTATCTCAGTATCTAGAATGGAATGAGGATACTATTAGTATTACTCTAGCACATAGAAAAAAAAACTAAGAAATGGCTGATCAGAACAAAGATATGTTCAGTCAGTTATCTCTTAATTGCAAAGATGAGAAGAAAGCAGGTGGTCGGCGTTGGAGGTCGCCACTGGAATCTCTCCTGTCCCTCTGCTGTTTCCGCCGGTCTGTTTTGCTTTTTTCCAGACACTAAACAATATTCCTGACTTCCGTTGTTAGTACACTCTTTTTCATATTTTTCCCCACTTGTTTGGAATAGGCTTCCAAAAACTATCAGGGAAGCAGAAAATCTAGAAATTTTTAAGAAGAAACTAAAAGCATTTCTATTTTCATCATATTTCGATTAGACAGAATCCATCCAAGCTGTAGATCGTTGTGAGTTTGTATGTGTGCATATGTAGGTATGTGTGTGTGGTGCGTGCGTGAATATGTGTGTGCACGAGTATGAAACACTATGTGCCTTTAAAATTGATTTGTAAATCCATAATATGTATCATGTTAAGCGCATAGAGCATTGCATACGTGGATATGCGCTATATAAATGCAATCCATTATTATTATTATTATTATTATCATTATTATGTCAGTCAGTGTGTGTCTCTTATAGTAGCCTACTAGTACACGGTCAAATAAGGAGGTGAGGAGGGTAATGCAGGTCAGGTCAAATGTTCACTCGAGATTCAAGGGGTCATCTCAAAAAGAGAGGGACAAAAGGTCCAATCGTTCGCACAATACAGTGCATCATGCATGTAGCCTACAATTCCCTAATTATGCTAGTGTCTGTCGATGTCAAGGAATTGTTTTGGAAAAAAAGAGAAGAAAAGGAAATGTTTGAGCCCAAGCTGACCCGATTTTACATCTTGAATTTAGGAGGTCTGAATCCTCGCCACAGCTTGTCACCGCCAGCCCGGGCTGAGGGATACAACTTTTCAACAGGCAGACACGGGCAAAATTCACGGACATATTTGATAATAATAATGATCTCACAAGTGAAATTGAACTCAAACTCAATGTCCCTCTGCAATATGCAATGGGGAGCCTAGCCATGACATCACAAAGTGCGATGTGTCAAACGACTTTTCAGCTAAAACAAAAAAAGATAACTCGTTATTCTAATTAATCTAATTAGAATTGCTTAACTGTTGGTAGGGTCAGAAAGTTGCCTAAACATGAACGTGCTGCTTGTATTTTCTTCTTTTTTTCGGTCCGTCATTGTTCCTGATGATTTAATAACCTCTTGCTGAGACTGACAGTGAAGAAACCTTTGATCGACATTTTTGCTTCCGCCCGCTAGGAGACTTTGACTTCATGCACTTCAAAAGAAAAGATAGCGGAAAAAGACTGGAAAACTGGATCACTAGAGGGGAGTGTTGTTCATCATGAAGTCTGGCTGCTTGCTTCTTCCTCTCCCGTATGAGGTGGGTGGTTGGCGGGTGCTCTGGTATGGTTTGCTCCTTCTTTCCTTCAAACATCGCCTCTCTCTCTCTCTCTCTCTCTCTCTCTCTCTCTCTCTCTCTCTCTCTCTCTTTCTGTGTGTGTGTGTGTTTATTACTCTATTGTAAAACACCTCTATTCTCTAGTCTTCGGCACTGATATGATCTAAATGAGCTAAATAATTGTGCTGCAAGTGCTGTAAAACCGAGACCAAAATAAAAACAAAACTCTCTTTATGAGAAGATATTGTTTACTGAGTAGGCCTACTTGCTGCATTCAGCACTTATCATATTTTTTCCTCTGAAAACCTTCCTTCTCAATGTACCGAACTACATTGTACTTTGATGCAATCTGTCTCTGGCTTCAGCTACAATTAAAGAGGCAAACATGTGGGGCTTATGCTTTACATTGTAGCCTACTAAGAAAACAATCGTTCTGTACTAATTTAAAGCAGTAACTAAGGGCTCTCGTGGCCTAGAGGTTAATGCGTTCGCCTCTCATTCAACAAAGGTCTCGGGTTCGAATCCAGGTAGCGACCGAAAAAATGTTCTCTAAAATTGTCTCCGTTCACCTCCTTTCCTGCTCTCTAGCAGTATTCCGTCGTCTGCTTTCGTCTCCACTTTCTGCCCCCACCCCTCACCTCTGGGCTCCCGACTCTTTCTGCACTCTCCACTGCTACTCCGTGGCTCCTTCTTACTGCTGTCTTTCAGCCACACCCCTGATCTTCAGGTAGGAAAGATCTACACCTTGCCTTCTCGGACAAGAGTGAAAAATCTCGGAGGTCCTGGGTGCAATTTACGCACGCTAAAGATCCATTGGTGGTCTAAAATCGATAGTTGGCTTCGGCCGCCACCCGGGTAAAAGTAAAATTCAAAATTTCGTACCGACTGAAAATGTTTAATGTGTCTCGCGCGCTCATATGACCTTATGCAGTTGCGAGCGCCATAAAACACTTAACAAAAAAAAACAAAAAAACAAGCATTCAGGGATGCAGTGGCCCTATTCCTAATTATTTATCTAAATTGTGTCAATGGAAGTGAATAATAATAATAATAATAATATTATTATTATTGTTATTATGGTGATGATGATGATCATCAACATTATTATTATTCTCATCATCATTATTGAAATATTATTAGGCCTATTAATATTATCATTATTATTTTATTAGAACAGTGGCCTAATAATTGCAGTGGGTGGTTGGCGGGTGCTTTGGTGTGGTTTGCTTTTTCTTTCCTATCAAACATCTGTATCACCCTTATCTCTCCTTCTTTTTTGTGTTTGTTACTCTCTTGTAACACCTCTAATCTTCGGCACTTATATGACCTTAATGTGTTGCGAGTACCGTAAAATACTTACTAAAACTAAACAAAATTAATTGCATAGCGCATGTTGTATGCGCTTCATTACGCTATTATTACCCCCAGCAGACTCTAGAGTCGAGACCACCTTGAAACATTCCCAGCTTCTCAAGAAGAATACTGTGAAGGTAGCCGATGAAACACCCAAACACCTGCAATTTGACAAGATAATATTTCTCCGGCGGTAACGGTAGCTAGCATTTCCAACTGGGTGAAGTGAGAAAGGTTGTGTAAAGCGCCTTTCCCAATGACGTAATGTTCAAACCAATGACATTTCAGTTATGAAATATTAATAGTAAGAATGATTTCTCATTGTTTAAACTTAGCCAATTTAATTATATTAATGCTAATGCCTACGTAAAAAAAAAACCAGCTTACATTTGTGGAGTTCGCAAAAACTCGGCAAAATCCATCCATGTAATCAGCGTGAAACTAGGTAAATGGTCCCAATCTAACATTACTGTACCCTCAACAACACGCATTTGCACGTTCACGCGCGCGCGCGCACACACACACACACACACATACCCCCC